GAATTCCCTGTATATACTTTTCTTTGGATGTGCGTTAACGTTACATTTACTTACATTATTATTAATTATTAAAATTCACCTGCCATTCTTTGATCTGATTAATTGGTCCAGATGCTATTTTGTCCCTCTATTCATCTGCTCACATAGCTTAGTGTCATCTCCACATATTTATACGAGAATCTTATGAGAATTGCACTCCTCTCATGTCACTTATGGATAGCGTGAACAGCAGGAAGCAAGAACAAATCCAGGTGGAACTCTGCTTGTCACTTCCCCCAACCTTCTCCATATATCACATTATTTTTTGTTCCTATTACTAAACCAGTTTCCAATTAAAGTAGCCAATTTGATACTAATTCCATGATCTTTAGCCTTCTTTAAAAAGTCAACATATCGAACTTTATTAATTATTATTTACTAACTTATGCAAATGAATTGTATCCACCGGGAAGCTGCTAATTTAGTCACTTCCATCATGAGGCATTATTTGTTCTTTCCAAATCCATATAAATTACTCATTGTGGAATCTGTTTAACTATGTATTGATTTCATCCTTAACATCAAACACAAAGATTATTTGTATTATTATTATGTCAAAATAACTTGCATCACTTCACAGGTAATTCCAACCCGCACTATAGCGAATTTCACTGTGCATGTGTGCAGCCAGGTGTGTGTCTTTATTACAAAACTGATTTTGAGATTATCAGATAACCACCTTTGTCACTTCCTGTTTGGTGTGCGAAGAAGATAGTATCATTGGTGGTGACCTGGAAGTCGGCCATTTTGTAGGATGAGAAATTGGCCAGCTTCCAAATCATTATATTGCATCAAAGTCACTCTGTTGTTCATGCCCAGCAAAGCAGGAACTGTCAGTGGCGATCTCTTGACCTGAGCTCAGCCATTTCAGCTCAAGACGTGTGTTGGTTGGCTGCATGTATGTGTAATCAATGGGATCCACAGTGACTTGCATTATAGGTGAATTTGCGGTATAGTAAAGCCATTGTGACAGGGCTGCACTGTACCTTAAAATGATTTTGTAGATGCACATAATAACAAAATTACATTTGTAAAGCACCTTTTATATTGGGAGGATGTCCCAAGGTGCTGAACGGTCAGGGATCAGGACCCGAGCGTGTGGGGCCGGGTTGGGATGAAGGAGCGCAGAAGGGGGTAGGAGGGCGGCTGAAGGCACGATCAAAAAGGAGGGTCTTGAATTGTGCCTAGGAAGCAAGGCGAAGGGACTGTAGGATGGAGTTCCAAAAAGTGGAGGCAAAGAGGCTAAAAGCCCATCAGCCGATGGTAGGGCGGGAGACATGGAGCAGGCTGGAGCCTGCTGAGCAAAGAGTGGACAGGTTGATAGAGGGTCAGCAGATCAGAGATGTAGGAGGGGGAAAGGCCATGGAGGGCCTTAAAAATGAGGACGAGGATTTTGAATTCTATCCTCTAGAGGGATGGGGAACCAGTGGAACCGGGTGGGGGTGATGGGGTCATGGAGCCTGGTGCGGGAGAGGACATGGGCTGCAAAATTCTGGATGAGTTGGGGAGGCTGATGAGGGAGTTTCTGTAGTTGAGCCTTGAGGTGACGAATGCGTGTATTACACACAGCAACCAGTTTACAAAAGTACGGTCTCACAAACTGAGATGAATGACAAATTAATTTGGAGGATTGTTGGCCAGGGCCCTGCCCTTTCCTAATGGCATAGGAATGTGACTGTCTGAAGTAAAGCAGACAGGACCTTAGTTTAAAGTATTTATCAAATGTCTTGATGTGGGGCTTGATTTAACTTCTGACCCATAGATGAGAGTTCTATCAGGTAGACTGTCACCAATAATGCTCTTAAGCATTATCACCATTAAAGATGTGTCATTCCCAGGCTTGTCACGCTCCTCCTAGAATAATGGGATCACATTTGTATATCCTCCAATTTTCAGAATAGGCTCTTCTTTTATCTATTCTGAAAGATATTAATCGGAACCTCACCCATTTCCTCTCACATTATTTCCACTCACATTTCCTTGTGGGTCTTCGGATGAGCCTCTGACTTGTAGACACTTGATTTGCTTAGTTGCTTCCCAAAGCATGTTCCACTGACATCAGCTCGTCTTTCCCGGGCCAGAATGAGGGATATGGAATTACACCACAATTTTCTTCCGTTTGGGAGATAACAAGCACTAGGATTAGACTGTATAGACGTGCGTTATTTTTATGACACTGTTCACCTTCAGGATTATCATTGGTGGTGCCGTACTTCATAAATGCTGCTTATTTTGGTTCATTGTTAGACCCGTGGGAGGAAGTAATTAGACCCCACCTCTCTGTTATCCTAAATAGAATTTTTTGACTGGATGGGAGCAGGATAGGAGGAGAGATAAGTTCAATTATAAATAGGTTTCAATGGATTTTCTCTCGGATTCTGAGTTGCTCCCCCGTCAAAGGCTTTCATGGGAACAATTTCTTCCTCTGCCCCCCTTTCCAAAGCGAATTGAGTTACTGAGACTGTGCTTCGTACAGTTAAGTCTAATTGTTTCATTTTTAACTTGTGTGTTTCTAACCTTTCCAACTCCTTTGATTTGCTAATATGATGTTCATTTCAAGCCTTTAATCACTTAACACCAATTACTCTACCATGTCAACCGATTATTTTGGTAATTGAATGCATTAAATCATAAAAATGGTACAACTTACCGGTCAGCTGTGGAGTCAGTCACGTGTATGGCAATGTTCGTTTGCTAGTGGCATTTTGAATTGGCATTTTATTTAGTTTTTAACACCGGTTTCCTAGCTAATCAGGTAGAATATCAACATGTTTGCTTTCATTTTGTGGTCAACTTCCAGGTCATCAGGTCAGAGTTACACATTTCCAGAGCACGGCAAGTGGCGCACATAAAGCAACCTGGTGACCCGGAAGTCAGCAATTTTTTAATGTGTGAGAAACCACCTGTGTTTGAAGGAAGATGGTGTAATTTGAATCAAGCCGCTGGCTTTCTGCGCACAGTTTGTCTGGTGTAAATCCAGTGTGACTGACTCCACACTTATAAGTAAACCTGCTTTATGACAAAGTTGTATTGCACAAAAGAGGAACTAATATGAAAAGTGATAATAATTAATATTATTATAGCAAATCCTTTATCTGCTTCCATACTAAGCAAGGCAGAATATAGCTAAAATATTGTGGTCAGTAATGAGAACTACATTAAACCTTTTGAGACACGCTGTTGGTGGCTAGATATTAAATCTGAACACCTCCATTAACCTGAGTAAAGCAATATTTTTTTCATTATTAATAGATGTTAGATTTTAATTAATTGCAGAAAAGTATTTTTTTATTTAGCATTGAATTTATATCGTAGTATGGAAAGTAATAATTTGATCTTAAATGGTCATGTGCTTATAGTTTTGAACAACAAAAACTTGCATTTGTAGCGCTCTTCATGCAGGATAGTGTTTTTGAGCTCGAGGGGAGTGAATCTTCATGCACATGTTGCATTGTAGTGAATGGTAATTGCATTCTCGAGTTTATTCAGAAAGAAATATGAGTTAAGATTGCAGTGGAAAACCTTCTGGCCATTGTTCTTCAGCTGTAACTTGGGGCATCAGAGCCCTGTAAAAGGCATGTCAGCCAGTGCAGTTAATGTACATTATTCCAGTATCTTGTAGTTAAAAAATGTTGTCACAAATCGGGTCTCTGGACACAATGAGAGTGCACAGAATCTTTTGTGCTAGCGCAATTCATTAATCCACAGGATACTAACTGCTAGATTGATTTTACAGTTAAAAATCTCCAGTTGTCTACAGCAATGATGAATTGACAGAGAAGACTGCTGTCCCTTTAGTTTGATAGAATGAATGGAAAGTATAGAAGAGAGTACATGCACACACTTAACCATGGCATGAAAGGTGCTGTGTCAAATGCAAGGATTCTTATTATTAATCAAAGCAGGGAATTGTGATTCATGTAACTCCGATGCTACTATTAACTTTACTCGCCAGCTGAGGATGGTCTAGGGTTTCTAACTCTTCAGATCCTTTTACGGCTTCTTGTTCCTCTCAGGTAGGATGTAAACTTCTAGGTTACCTGGAACAGATAGTTTAGTGTGGGTTCAGGCTGGGCTGGGAAGGGGTGCATGTCTTGCTCCAGACCAACTGACAGTATGTTTTTTTTATAGATGTGTTGCAGAGTGTTCTGTATTTTTTTTCTCATCAGTGTGGATAGTGATCGGTTATTTTGTGCTCGCTGGAAGTACTTGTTTATAGTCTGGAGATCTTGTGCAGATAGGATGAGCAGATAAGCCAGGGTAGATAATATGCTATCCTTATCGCTTGGTTTTGGAGCCACTGGAGTCTCTTGATTTGGAGCTGGCTTGCTGTGTACTTAGCAGGGTGGTCGTACACTAGAATTGGGCAGACATATGCTTTGTATAGGCTTAGATTGTTTTTTGCAATGGCGCCATTCTTCTTTCATAAAGAAGAAAAGTTGGTTCAGATGCAATGTCGTCTGTGCTTCATCCAAGTCGGATTTGTTTGGAAAGTAATTCCTAGAAACGTCTTCCCTTTGGGCAATCTTGATAGGTTTGAGTAGCAATTCTACTCTCATCCTCCTTGCTGTGCTTATTCCTCTTGGAAAAAGAGCATGCCCTGGGTTTAATAGGATTCCTTATTGGCATGCCCACTCCTCTAGGATGTCTAGTGAGTTCTGTAGCTTGTCCAATGCAATACCCGAGCTCGGGAATGAGATGCAGATGGCGATATCATCTGCAAACTGAGAGCAGCCTTTGCTTGGGTATCAGAATGTCATTGATGTTAATTAGAAACAGGAGGGGGCTGATAGCTTCAGCGGAAGAACAAAAAAACATCATATGCTCAATGGGGAGAATGGCCTTGGGTTGTAATTTTTATAAGTTCTGGATGCCAACTGTTTTTGTTTCTTGTGTATTGTCTAAAAATGTTCATCCACGATTTTGACTCCACACTAAATTTTCTCTTATTTTGCATCCAGGTTGTTGTGTCCACAAACATCGCTGAGACTTCACTTACCATTGATGGTGTCGTATTTGTGATTGATCCGGGCTTTGCTAAACAGAAGGCAAGTATTGTTTGATTAGAGAATTTTGGTCTGCATAAATCTTCTTGTTAGCAATTATCATTCTTCACTGCTGTATTGTTGCTTGAGAATTTAGATAGTTTAGGGTTCACCACTGATCTGTAGTCTGTATCTCTGTGGAGGTGGGGTGGGGAGAGAGACTGGGAAAGTAATTTGTGTTAGTGATTCCTCCCCCTTCCCCTCCCATTGAAAGCAAACTGAAGTAACATTCCAGGAACACTAATAGCCCTTCCGTTACCTCAACTGTGGAGATTTTCTTGGTAGAGCTCAGGTATTGTGGAAAGGTAGGCAATTTGACCATGCATGATGACAGCTTATTGGTACCACCCTTGCCCTGAGTCAGAAGGTTGTGGGCTCAAGCAGCGTTGGGACTTTGATCTCGTGGTCTAGGTAAACATTCCACTGGACTGCTGGGGAACGATCCATTGTCAGAGGTGCTCGGCTTTGGATGAGATGCTAAACCAAAGTCTTCCTTGTGTAAACTTTGAAGATTCCATGTCACAATTTGAAAAGAGGGAATTTCTCCCAGATAGAATTGGGTAATTCGGAGATCACATTACACAAAATTGTGTGTATATTACACAAAAAAGTCTGTGTGGCAAAAATCAGCGTACAGTGAATGCAATTTTTTTTAAGAAACAAGACTTTGTAATTCGAAGTTGTTTGTTTTGTCACGCACCTAACCGTCATCAGGTGATTGTCAGTCAGATCTCAGGGACTGAAATGAAACTTGCCAGTTAATTGGTCGTCAGACTCCGCCACTGTGAAGTGCTCTGGGACGCTACCTTGTGTGAAGGGAGCTAGATAAATGCTAGTTGTTGTGTGTCTGACGACAAACTGATGGAGGTTGGGCTGAAATGAAACATGTTAGTTAATTGGTCCGTGTTATGTGTGATCATTTACAACACATTTTTTGGGATACCCATGCATACACAGTACTCATGTTTAAAAAGCCTAAGGCTATTTCTGTTGGTTCACAGCTGCTTATTGTGATAGGATGTGCACAAATTGTCTGCAGTGCTTGCTTTACAGTGAAGTCCTGTGAAGCACTTTGAGACATCTGGATGATGTGATAAGATGCAATACCAAATACAAGAATGTTTATTTATAGTTTAGCTCAATCCTGTCCTCAGCTGTGGCCATTCCTCCAATTTTATTTTAAAAGAAAGTGGATTTCAGCTGACAAGGCCAGAGTCTAAACAAGTCTTGAATATGTTGGACGATGCTATTGGTTTACTCTTGAGCTCTCCAGCACTTGACTATCATATTAGATTTTTGTAGTTTGTGTTAATGGATCTTAACCATCCTTATACCCAGATCAGTTAAAAATAAATTGAGCTTAGAATAACACAGCTTCTTTTAAACCTTTTGCTCTTATTGTTTTTGAGGTCAGTCAAACTCTAGTTGATTTTACCAGAGTGTACTTCTAGTTTATTTTGGAAATGCAACTGAGTAATGTGATTTTTTAAAGAAAATTAATTTCCCTTCATCCCATTGTGTTATATTGTATGTTACGTGTTATGAAGGCAATTACAATTCCCATAGGCTAGATAGAAACTTTGATCGAGCGAACACACACAATACTGTCCTCATTATGCGTGATTAACCACCTAACAACTAGACCCAAACACAAAAAGCATGGAAATCATTGTGTCGTTTACAGTCCTCTGTTGCTCAGATTTTCTACTTTTCCTTTGTAATGTTGTCTTTCTGTGATTACAAGGTGTATAACCCACGTATCCGAGTTGAATCGTTGTTGGTGACCGCTATCAGTAAGGCTTCAGCTCAGCAAAGAGCAGGTCGTGCTGGGCGTACCAGACCAGGAAAATGTTTTAGACTTTACACGGAGAAGGCTTACAAAACCGAGATGCAGGTAAGCATATTATTGTGGGCTCTACATTTTTAATGGTTTGCAGACTTAGAAAGTAAAAGTTATTCTTGAACTGTTCAATAGTCTAGTGATATGGTGCTGGATTTCAGTTTTACGGTCAGGACTTGCTTTCCACCTCAAGTAATTCTGTACTGTCCTCAGTGGAACGTGTTCGCTATGTTTGCAGCCAGGCTTTTACATGCGACTCTTGATGATAGAAAACGCTATTTCTAGGAAGGCAATCTGTCATGTCCTGCATTACTGTTGTCATTGGATAATGCAGAATACCTTAATTTTGTCTGGTCTTAACAGCAAGGAGCTACAAACTTTAAACTACTGCATTAAAAAAATTGTAATATCATTTCATGGTTCAATTGATCCAAATGCTCTAATGTAAAGGCCTATTCAGAGCAATTCAAACACAAGCTTATAAGTATTATTTAGAATGCCAGTTTCACCCACCAGCACAAGGTTATGACGTTTCGCAATCTTCCTTCTTAATATCCAGCACAAGAGTTGAGCAGGATCCGATGGGGAATGGGGATGAGTAATATAACCTTTCTTTTAAAATATATAAATATATTAATGTAAGTTTTAGTTTTCCACCTAACCTGACTCCCATTTGTTCTCCTCCTCACCCCCCCCCCCCCCCCCGCACAAAACCTCATTCAGTGGTACATTGATTATCTCTGCTCCGATTATCAACTAGTTTTCACCCTCCGCTACCACTAGTATGCTTTGGCACAGTTTTCCTCTACTGTGCTCGGTACAATAATTAAACAGCACCAATATCAATTGTGTAATGAACCCTGCCAGTTTTCTTTTGTTTTATATATAGCAACTCAAGTAACAAGAACATAACAAGTCGACTTGCCAACAAGGAGACGGGAGCTTGAATCACAGTCTCAATCTGCAATTTATGCTCCAGTTTCCACCAGCAGCAGGAGAGTCCTGCTTGCTTTGGAATAATCACCCATCCCTTCTGGAAAAGAGTATTTTTNAAAAATCAGAATTTTCCATCTGCGACTTTGCAGAAATGAGCAGGCTCATCAGCTTAGCAATGTACAGCAAGCTTCCGGCAAGAGGTGTCTCCGTAAATCACTTGAGCAGGGTGAAATCGTGATGGTGGTAGTGTGTTTGAAGAAGGAAAAAAGACTATGTAAAAAAAGCCTGGCAGGGTGCATTACACTGCAAAAGAGTAAGATTTTCTTGGCTGTCTCTTATGAGAGGTGTGAAAGAGAAAAGCAGTGTTTGCCTTTTTTTTGTTTTTTTAAAAAAACTACAACTTTGGGACTAACCAGATGTTTCGGATTCTGTACACTTCTATGTTTCAGCAGCAAACACTAAGAGAATAGTCTGAATCAGATTCAGGGGAGCAAGGGAATAACACTTGTTGTAAAATTCCTATGCTACTAGATTCAGGGTCTTAGCTTAGCTCATTTGGTAGCACTCACGCCTGTGAGTCAGATGATTGTAGGGCAAGCCACGTTGGTTCTTGGAACAACAAATTATATAGCACCTTTTACATCAGAAGGGAGCCCAGAGGCACTGAAAGGGAACTCAGTCCAGCTGACACCAATGCAGTGCTCGTGGCAGCTGCATTATTGAAGACGCGATCCTTCGGAGGAGACATTAAACTGGGGTCTACTCTGCCTGTTCATGTAAAGATTTCACAAAATTACCGGAAAAGAGAAGGGAATTTCTTTGTGTGTCCCGGCCAACAATCCTCTGAATAAAATTGGTCAGTGGTTGCCATATTCACCTACAAAATACAGTCACTCCACTTTGCAGTAAATCCTGTTAAGTGCTTTGTGATGTCTTCCTAATGTGAAAGGAGCTGTACCAAATGCAAGGATTATCAATTGCAAGTACTGTTCTTCAATCAGGGTTTTTGTTGAATTGATGGAAGATGCAACATTTGTTGATTCTCTTCTAGAAATTGTCAACTTTATGTTTGTTGCTTGGAGTGGGGTTGCGGGAAGAAGTACCTTCTTGTACCTTTGTTGTGAATGGGAGCATTTTGGAAAGTGGTGGTGTTTTGGCCGTCGTGATTTGCTGGAGTGCTTTGTGCAGGGCTATTAAGAAAGTTCCTCCAACTTGAGTGATTTTTTTTTTTATTTCCACAACTTTGTTTCCTAATTTTGACAGCCTTTTAATATAAAAAATAGACTATAGAATGGCCATGTGGTCTCTAGTATTCAAATGTTCTCCCCTGAAGCTGCACCAAATATCACTGCTCCTAAGTATCACCAATATAAAATTTTCGCTTCAGACTTTTAGTCTCTCCTTGGAAACTGTCATCGCAATAGTTGGTATCAGATCCTTTGCTCAACTCTTGTTGCCTGAACCTATCATGCAACCCAATCTTCAATGTGACTGATCTGTCTTAACTACAATGGTATCATTTTGACCAGGAAATGTCTCTCTGCTCTTTGAAAAGAGTGCTTCCTTCTGTCTCAATCCTGACAATTCATCCTCTGCAGTGTGTGCAGTACTAAATGAGATTGTATGTCACCTTCCCCCCTTCATTCCTTGAATTGAAAAACCGTTCACATATCAAGATGACACCTGGCTATTCTTTCAATACATCTTTGAGGTATTTATTTTCCTGGTCACCTTCATACATCATTGCTTCCTTTGGGGAGAATATGCTGACAGTTCTGTACAGGGAGTTCATGGAATGCAAGGTCGTGCTGACTAGTTTGCCATCACTATATCACCATTAACACAATCCTGTGTCCATTGAATCTCCTAACTGCACCCTTGGTTCTCTACTCCAGTGTGCGGCCAGTGCTATGATTAGAATGAAGACAGTCCTGCCTGACGGGTGATCTTTCTGTCATCGGCCTGATTCACGAGCTTATGCTTGTGGTAGTTTCTAGGACATTTATAAGTCACTACACTTTACAGTAAATTCCGTGAAGCACTTTGAGATGTTTTGATGATGTGATCAAACACTTATGAAATACAAGGATTATTGTTACAGAGATGTGTCTAACTTTTAATGTGACCCCACCCATTTGCTGCTTCAAGTTGAGGAGTGGGCATCAGAAGAGAAAGTTGGACAAAGGAATTTTAGATCTTTTTGATTTACATTGTAAAGATGTGACCATTCATATCCATCATTTTCTGCATTGTACTCTCTGGGGTTCTGACAACTTTTTCCAGGTATGCAATTAATTGCTTTTTTTTTTGACAGGACAATACCTATCCTGAAATCTTGAGATCTAACCTGGGTTCAGTGGTTCTGCAGCTGAAGAAGCTTGGTATTGATGATTTGGTTCACTTTGATTTCATGGATCCACCAGGTATGTGACTGACCTTAGTTTACAGATATCGGAAAACCTCATTATAATAGAATTGGCCGCAAAAATGGTCAACCTCTGGGTGGTCATGTTGTCTGCGTCAGTGACAATCTGACAGCCCAGATATCAGCCATGTTTAGTGCAGGAAGCAAGCTGGCCAGCACTGAAAGTCAAGGTGCAAGTCCACAATAGACCTGTGGAAAAAAAAAGCTGGAGCTTTAATGGGATTTCTGTGTTCCTTCCGCTGTCAAACTCCCTATGCTCCAGTATTTAAAGCTGATTATTTTTTGATATATTTATGATATTTATGATCTAGCTATTAAATTTGGAGTTTAGGGTTGTTTTAAGATTTTTTTTCGGTCATAGGATTTCTGTAAAATGCCCAGCATTATTATTTTGTGAGGGTCAAGAGGGAGGGAGACATCTGTCTTCGTTCTTGTTTGTATCTGATGAAGTCTGTCTTATATGGTGCCTCCCAAAGTGATGGATCAAATGCAGCAAAGGGACTTCACTGCTGTATTGTCCAGCAGTGCCTTACAGGCAGTGGTTGTATTCCTGATATCTCATCGAGGCTATGTTCAGACTCATCCCTGACACTCAAAAGTACAATTCTGTTCCTAAAACAGGGATTGTTTTAAGTTAGTCAGTTTAGAAAACTTAACTAGTTTTCAAAAATGGACAAATCATGCAAAGTACATTTCAGAAGCAAAAAAANGTACTTAATACAAGTTAACAGTTTTAATGTTCTCAACATAAGATGCTTTTCAATATTTCAAAACGTCAGTCTGTCCATTCTTTTCCTTTACTCTAGTATTTTATCATTCAAATTTTACCTTTTCAGTTGTATTCTGACATGTTTTCCTGTAATCTCATCTGACCAAGTATCTTAACTGAACGCAAACTTACCTTACAATAAACTCCATCTATACTATTCAAATGTCCCTTCTCTGTATGCATCTCTCAATTTCCAGTGTTCATCTACCAACACAATCTAATAAGGCACTTATCCTCCAAATAGCACTATCTACAGTGCTGAGCATATGAAACTGAAGTTTTTAATATTCGCTTGTGTGAAGTCAATGAGTACTGTAATGTGTAGAGGTAGCTCGTTCACAAAAGCTAGACCAGTGAAGTCTCAAATTAAAGTTGCAATTTCCCTCACAGTTCTTGCACATTCAGACTTCCTTACAAACCCATGATGTTAATCTGGCACATTCGGCTCAAAACACTCGGCTCAACACAGAGCCCTGTAAGCAATGGTGAGTGTAGTGCGAGTGGCATTCGCAAAGGATCCTGAAATGGACCAAGTCCATTTCAGCATGAAGGTGAAGTTCACCAATTGATTAAGGGGTAAAATGAAATGAAGAAAGAGCTGAAACAGGCCACTGAAAATCAGGAGCAACACCATGAAAGGAGCATTGAAGATAAGTGGAGACGCAATAGCCATAATTGACAGCTGGCAGTTTGCTTTGCTTTCCCTCTTGACACAGTTATAAAGCGACATCCGGGCAAGCAAAATTTTCCATCCCTGATGTGAGGAGAACTGTTATGTGTAGAGAATGAGTTGTGTTTTTTAAAAAAAAATCAAGTGCCTTTTTGTGCTCTGAAAGTAAACCTGTCATCACGCCAAGAAGGACATCATGATTGATGGTGTGTAACCCTCTGCTACCCAGCTGGTGGGAATCATTTGAGGAAGTACCGATTTTCTTATGGTCACTTTTTATATGTCCCAGACTTTTTTTTAAAAATTCAATCCTCCACAAAATTGTTTTGTCTTTACAACCTTTTTTGCTTTCGTCGAAATTAATAGGCCATTTATATTGTACCTTTAGTGTCAATTCAACTGCCCTTCAGTCTTTTAATGTTCGGCAAAGAGCAGGTCACACTCCTGGGTCTTTAATGGCATTATAAAACGTTCCATTTCTGTTACCAGGACTCTGAGTGTTATGTTGTGCAAGAGCAGACACAGCTTTCTCTTTTTTTCTCTCTCTTTCTCTCTCTCTGTATTTGAAAATATAAATGCTAATTACCGCTTCTGATTTTCCTTGGGTGTGTGTTAGTGGGGTGGGAGGATAGAGGAGAGAGGGGTGTTGTTTGATTTGTGTTTTTCAAGTTAACAGTAGTGGAGACAAAACTCAACACATAGTTTGTAAACTTCAGAGCCTACATTGAGCTCTAGGTTCTACATTTTGCTTAATATTGCTTTCTTTGGGTTCATCTATCTAGAAAAGCTGAACTGCATGCTGTCCTAGACCAATAATATAAACTTTGAGTGATTGGATCAGGAAACCCCAAAGTTAATTGTACCAAAAAGAATTAGGAAACCAGGTAGCTCTGTATTTCATTCAGGTTCTAGTGTTAATTGTTTTTCTAAATATTATTCTCCAGCTCCTGAAACACTGATGAGGGCCTTGGAACTTCTGAATTATCTGGCTGCACTGAATGATGACGGAGACCTGACTGAGCTTGGATCCATGATGGCAGAGTTCCCATTGGATCCACAGTTGGCCAAGATGGTTATTGCCAGCTGTGAACACAACTGTTCAAATGAGATCCTCTCTATCACTGCGATGCTGTCAGGTAATAGCAGGGGTGAAATTGTCAAAAGCCTGACTTGGTAGGGTTGATCTATTTGAGGCTCTACTTTGCAGATGCAAAAAAAGGTGCAGTACTGATTCTGTATTGAGTGGTAAACATTGAGTATTAAAGGGGAACGAAATTTCTGAGCAACTTGCTTTTTGCTCAAAGAAATAAAAGCAAAATAACCTGGTTCTGAAATCCTGAAGTAAGAAATCCTTGCTTAAACACACCATGCGATCCACTTTGCTCTGGACTGTTCACTTATGCTACATGGAGTTGCTGAGCATGTCATTTCAGTTTTAGCGGAGTGGGTGAAGACAGCAGCAGCTTGCTTGCAGTTATATAGCACCCTTCACGTAGGATAGCATCTCTGAGCGTTGCACATTGGTGCGTTTGGATGCCTGGGAGTTGATCAGGAGCACTCTTGGCAGTGAACATTTAGTACTAGTGAGTGTATGACATTACCCAGTGAATTTCCTGGGGTTGGCTCACTCTACTTTGACCTATTGGCTGAACCAAAGCTGCTGTTGTCCCTATGAAACTTACTGTAATACAGTGCTGGATAGCCTCATGCATATTGGGTCCTAATTAGTGTGTCTGAGCAAAGGTTTCTTGCTTTGGGCAAATTATTTTATAACTTTCAAAGCAAAATGGACTCCCTCTAGCTTTACCTTAGTGGCCCTTTAATAAAGCTTGCAGAAATACTTTTGTACTGGAGAAAATATTTTAGCAAAAGTAAGCAACCTTTTCCGTTTTGATGAAGGTCATGACTTTTTAGACCCTTTAACACTTTATCCTTCCTATCTTTGAGCCATGCATTCTAAGCAGCTCACTTTGAACTAGAAAGAAAATGGTATCCTAATGAAGGCATGGTACTCAAATGAAAATTGTGATTATTCAGCATTATTAGATTCCGAAAAATATTTCAGATCTGCAGGATAAATGTTGGGTTTTTTTTTAAATCCCCAAATGCACATCAGTTTACAATCTGACATTTCTGAGAATCCAGACAAGTACAGGGAAAACTACTGCAGGTTAATATTTGGCAAGTTAACAAGTTTTATCATCTGGATAGCTACGTTTGGTTGCAGCGGTAATTGAACTAGGTCTGTTGAAGCAGAAAACTGCCTGTTGGAACGGAAATGGATGCCTTTCAAAGCAAGAATTTCTCTGAACATTTTGGGCTTGCAATGTTAGTTGTTTGTGCCCAAAATAATTCTGTGCCGAGGCTTGCGATTTCAATAATAGAGGATTAACTTCAGAACCATATTGGTCCCCAAGAATCAGGAAAGGCACTATTTCAAAACCATTGTTGGATAGTACAGACGATGAAAGATTAAATTTCTAAACTAATATGTTTGTGTAATTGGGTTACAGAGGATTAATGTACTTTGGTAGATGAAAAGATGGCCATGTTGAGATTTTGTTTGGGGTGGGAAGAAACATTACTTTTGTGTGCACTATGACTTAAGCATTGGTCATTACCTATTCAGATATTTTAGGTAACTTGTGGTTTGTATTTCATTAGTGAAATATGGTTTTGCTGTGTGATGCTTATCCAAAACCATTAATGGGTCGATCAAGTGTTTATTATTGAGCAAGACAACAGACTTGAACTCTGTGTCAGTACAATAATGTAGATTAATCAGATTCAGAGCAGCTGGGCAGGGCAGAATCTCACCCTTGTTTCCTTGTTTTCCTTGGATTTTACCTGTATGCAAGGATGAGATTCAAGTCATCTGTTCATAACATCATACACTTCAAGCACTAACTATCTTTGAAGGTTAGGCATCGCATTTTCAGTAGATTAGGAAAATGCAAACAACATTCAGTTAATGCACTCTTAATAGTTCAGTATTGCTCTATGCACAGTCGTTTACACTACAATCTGGTAATTGTGGAGCTGAATGGCTATTGTATAGCTTCTGAAACACTCTTGTCTTGCAGATGTGAGTAGGTGTTGATGTTTGGTACCATGCCAAGGTAGTAGACAGTCCAAGATGCAGTTGGTGACCATGTCCCATCATGCCCTGCCCAATGCTCTCTGAACTGACCTAGCTAGGCCTTGTTCGTGTCTCTGAATGAGTGACTCATCTATATGGGCGTCTATGTTGGGGCCCATACCAACATTGTTTAGTCCCACAGTGTTTTGTTCGCCCAACGGAGGCTAAGAAAGCAGCTGACGAAGCCAAGATGAGGTTCGCACATATAGATGGAGATCACCTGACCCTGCTGAACGTCTACCATGCATTCAAGCAGAGTAAGTATATTGCACTGGATGTTTGTGAGCAGGAAGATCAATGTTTGTCTACCAAGCAAAATGTTTTAATGTGAAATAACTTGTGATGTAGCAGACTCCATTGAATATATGTCTTTAGTGTACTTATTTGAACTTTTTGGCAGGGTGTGAAACTGCACACTTGTTTATCACTTACATCACTGTGTGAAAACCATTGGTCATATTCACAGAACTGCAACCTAATATATTTCTAGTTTTTTTAATCCGTAGAAATGCATAAGCATTTTTTTTAACGAATAATATACTTCCTTGTCAACTTAACAGAGCACCCTGCCCTTTCCACAAAAGGAAATTAAAACAAAATTATATTTTTTATATAAACTATACTAACTGTACCGACCTGATGCAGCTACGCTTGCAACCAAAGGATCCAATATGGAGTGTAGATTTGTGTAGTTATGGCAGGTTCGGGAAAACTTTGGTTTTGAGCTCTGCTATATCTTGTACAATGGTTCCACAATCTTCGGGGATCTCCATTTGGCCATTTGTTGGATCCACTGGAATTATAAACACAAGGAGAGGGGGAGGGGCTAAACACCATCCCTGGGTGAGACCCCAACTCCAGCCCAAGGCATCACCCTCCCCTGCTAGGCCATGGGTTGAGGAAGCAGGAAACTCCGCTGTCTTACCGAGCCAACTGTCACCCGCCACCGGCCCAACTCCAACATGGCTCCTCCCAGACCGGGACCGCCCAGGAGTAGCAGGAAAAGCCAGCTCACCTCTGCCATCTTGTTCCCGCCAATTGGCTTCGTCTGAGTGCATGCTTACTGTGTGTCACAATGCCACTGGGAGTCGGCGCAGCCACCAGGTGTAACTGCAGCGCAAAACTGCCTTACAAGTGTGATGAGCTTGTTTAAGTCATAACTCATCAATGATAGGAGATCCCAGAAAACAATATGTCCATTACACTCTTAGGTGCAAGACCTTTCTGATGAGGTATAAATCATGTCTCTACATCAATCAGTTATTGAGATCTTGGCTGATACACACACACACACAGACATTGTCGTTTTATTAGTATAGATAGATATAGCATTTTATAGAGTGTTTTGTATATTGTCCTTTCCACTCTTCTTCAGGCATTCTGGGATACAATTACACAGGCATCAACCACCCTCTATACAAACGTCTAGTCGCCATTTTTAAGTGAAGCTAAGCAATGATTCTTTTTGATCTTAGAGACATCACAACCAAGCCTAATATTCTCTCACCTGATTTCCACATCCAATTACTTTCTATCATGAATGACAGACCGGGTTAGGACTGGGAACTCTGGCTGTTTTTTCTCCGCTCTTTTTCCCCACCACTGAGGTACTTAGGTCAATTCAACACCACTGGCTGAGATCATCTAAGTCAGCACAGACCGAAGTAAACCTCCCTGGCTTTGTGATTCAGATTCACTCTTTAAGATGATGGTTTTACTAACTAACTTATCGGTGTTTTGTGCTATAATACATTTATTATATTGAGCACCTCGTTGCAAACTCATGAAATCCCAGACCAAATATGATCGTGGAAGGTGATTACAAATATTTGAGGATTTAGAGCAATCATAGTGATAGGTTTTCTACATAGCAAAATTGATGCAGGTTCTTGTACTATGTAGATTTATAGTTATTTTATTTGCATTTCTGGCTTTTACCTGCAATGATTTCTGGTACTGCATGCAGTAACACAATGCTTATGCAATTTCCTAAACGTATAAAACATGCATTCCACACAGAAGAGAGGTTCCATTAGATTTCTCCAGTATAAATTTGAAAACTTATATCCTGTCCCTTATATCCCATCCTTTGTTTAAGTTTTGGTTCCTTAAACCAAATGGCACTGTGAACCCTTGACACATAAGGTCAGATAAGTAATTGTAGGCTCTGAGTGAACTTGTCTCTTTATTTTCAATTGCAATTATTTTTATGCTCTTTATCGATATAGGATTATTATTATTTAACTTATTCATTTTCAATCTTACCTGCAAAAATTATCATCATATTCTTTTTTAAGATTAAGGATGCAAAATAAATGGCTGTTACTTCTCCCAACTTGTTTCACTAAACCTATTGTTCAGTAGCTCTAACTCAATTGTTGCTGGGGGCTGAAATAGGGTCAAGCTTACAAAATTCTGCTTGAGCATGTTCCAAGGTAGATTGTTGAATATCATCAATCCCAGTTTTTGCAGGTTGCATACCTTCTGATCTTTATTCCAAAACCCATCCTATTTGTTCCAGTAATTGCAGACTCATATGAATAGGAATGGGCTATTCTGCTCAACTTTTATGTCTAACAAATCTTTCATTTTACTCGCCTTTCTCCATATCATCAACAAGAAATTGCATGCATATAGATAGCATTTTCATGTTGGGAGGACATACTCACTTAACAGCATTCAGCAATCTCTAGAATGCCTCAAATGACTGTTTATGTTGTTGTGGCAAGTCTATTCCATATTGTAACTCTTTGAGTAATTTTACTTTCACCTTTAAAAATGTTGGCTCTAATTTTCAGGTTATGTCCCCTTGTCCTGGCCACTCCAGTGAGAGTGAGTTTGTTCCCTATTTTCACTAACTATTTGGAATTTGATGAAAACCACTCTTGGTTTATATTTAAAAAGTTAATGTGTTATTCATGAGCCTGCTTTGTTTTCCCACTGATTAGGGCAACTCTTTGAGTTTTACACTACACAGTTATCTAGCATCTTTATATCAGGATGATGTCCCAAAGTGCTTGACAATTTTAACTGCATTCTCTTGAGTGAAAGACAAAGATCATCACTATTTTTCAAATATTCTTGTAGTGTTTCCCAACTGATTAGATAAATTCCTTAACTGATATGTGCATCACTAGTGAAGATAGTTAACTTTAATGAGTTTTTTTTAATTCTTTGAGAAACTGAAATGTTTCCTTGACTCATACAAACTTGATTTGATATTTTTGTAAGAAGAGGTTCAAATAAGATTTTGATCATATTAAGATTAACTTAAGTTTTAACTTTTTAATGTAAACTGTTCCATATTTTTGTAAAATTCCCAAGTTGAATAACACTTTAACTGCAAATCTTAAGCAAGTATTCAAGCAAAATGTCCCAAGTTCCACTGATGCAGACAATTTTTTATAACTTCGGGACTTTTGTAGTCCTCTTAAGCCCCTGCCTGTTTCAGCCCTTACGCATCATTTGCGTGTATTACAGTTTCCTTAAATGCTTGATTCTGCAAACTAAAGATCACTCTTAAAACTGCTTTGAAACCTGCTTCAGTTTATAATACTCAATGAAATGGAATAATTTATTATTTGTCATTGCATGATAAAACCATTGTGGAAATTTGATGTCCCAAGAATGTGATTAAATACAACAAACCTTTTTTAAAAAATAATTAATGTCAGTTAATCATCATTGAATGGTCAGTACCACAGGCTACACAATTCACAGCATTTACTAGCAAACTGAATAAATTGCACAATTGGTGGTGCAAGAACAACAATCAATTCACTCCGATAAATCTCCCGAGCACTTGTGGCAATAGTAACTTGAGGGAATTCCACCATTTAAGGAAGAACTTCCAAGGTGCAACAGCACTGATGCGATGCTCTGAGTCTTCACTGACTGCAATAAATTAACAATTTCTCTATTTCAAACAAATTGTTTGATTTGCATCATATTTTCTTGTAAATAACACAAGAGCATTTGGATGGTCTTAATAGTATGATTCGAAATAGTTTGTGCAAAGCAGGGCACCTCATGTCAGCATGGCTCGGGGTTCGCTTCTGAATCAGAAGATTGTGGGTTCGAGCCCCACTTGAAATCACATACTTTAAACTGACGCTTCAATACAGAACTTGGAGTGTGTTCATTGTTGGAGGTATCGTCCTTTGGATAAGATGTTAAACCGAAGTCCCGTCTGCCTGTTCAGGTGGACATTAAGCATTCCACTATTCGAAAAGGGAATGAAGTTTCTGGTGTCCTGGCCAACAATCCCCCAAATAAAATAAAAATAGTCACTCAATCCATGGCTGTTTGTGGGATGTTGCTTTACAAATTAGCTGCTGCGTTTGTTCACTAAATTCAATCAATCCACTTTACAGTATATCTTGTGAAGCGCTTTGATGTCTTAATGACAAAATCAGGTGCTACACCAAATGTATTATTATTAAGAATTATTGTTATCTTAAATTTACCTGCATCGTTTCCATGAGTAATAATGTGCTAGTGTGATCCTGAGGTGCATCTTTTGAGAATGGATTCAGCTCAGCTGTGATCCTCTCTGTGGTACAATGGTTTTGTCAACACTTGCTGTTCAGCTTCATGCATGTTCAGTGCTGCCTGCCAAGCTCCTGGACTGCTGTGGAATTATGTACTCTGTTCATCAAGTGAATGACAGACGGACGGGGATGGGGGAGAGAGGGGAAGAAAGCAGCCTAATTTAATTCAGTTCATTTTTTGTGAACATATGATTGCCTTACACCTTAAAAATGTAGGGCCGTCATCACGTATTATTCCATAGGCATGCATTTCAGTCACTCTGTCTTCCTTCTACCTTTCAACCACCGTATCTCTTTAGCATTCCTCCCTGAAGACTTTCCTTTTTTTAAAAAAAAACACACACATCACATGCATGGGTACTGTTCTGGTCAAGACTCTGGCAATGCCATTCTGAAGCTACCAACTCCACAGTATAGTAGCCTTAAGTGACTCACTGGATTCTTCCCCTGTTTGTGTTGACGCTTTTGAGCCTCCACTTGGTAGTTCCCACAGAGCCAAAGCTGAAATTACAACTTAGAATATGGAGATCGTGAGTTGAGTTATTTCAAGTATGTGAAATTCATCCACACCATACTAAAAAAAGCTTATTTTCTCTCTGCTGTTATCTTTGTTTTTGTATTAAGCCTGGTTTCAATTACGTTTTCTTAATAATGATGCTTTTTATTTTTAGACCATGAGTCGGTTCAGTGGTGCTATGACAACTTTATTAACTACAGATCCCTGATGTCTGCTGACAACGTACGTCAGCAGCTGTCACGAATCATGGACAGGTTCAACTTGCCTCGCAGGAGTACAGAATTCACGAGTCGAGACTATTACATAAACATTAGAAAGGCATTGGTCTCTGGTTACTTTATGCAGGTATGATGACAATTTATTATCTTTCTTAAATGTGTATTAACTCAATGCTTGATATTCCAGTTCGTGTCTAAAATATGTTAAATCTTAAACTCCAATTTGGAGCTATTGGAGGTGGGAGTGTCATAGGATTTGTGTGCTCTGGCAGGTCTGGCATGTATATCTGTTGTAAACTTTATTCAGTTTACAGTGTGGTGCAACAATTTTATTGATGCCAGTTACGATATGTTATAGATGACCCTGATAGTACAATACTCTCATCACTTTTGCATTCTGTGATTTTCAGTGAATTACTGTTAATATCATTCTGGAAAAAATAATTGATTTGGAAATGGTCGTGGAGGGTAAAAGGGTTATCGGTTAACTGATCAAAAGCATGTGCAACAGTACAGTGGTTCTTTGTATAATGTCTCATAACTTGTTGAATGATTCAGCAGATTAAAAGAGCACTGATATAATTGGACAGGTAGTTACTGTCTCTGAAGATTATGTTTGAAGCCAGGCAAATTTTATCAAAAATAAGTTACTTGACCTTGAACACACTGGAAACTCTGTTTTTGAAAAGCGTGATTGTATTGGTTAAAAAAAGCCTCTGTTGTACATCAATCATTGGGTATATACATTTCTGTACTTTCCAAGTATGTTGAAATGCACGAGTGATGAAAAAAAACATGAATGAAGGAAAGAATTGAGTTTAGGGAGGCATGATGTTTCATGACCACTGTCCAAATCAAAAAGCCCAGCGATCAATCCAGATTAGGGTGTAATATTTTGACTCAGACTTTTCCAGAGAATTGTGATAGATATTGATAAGTTAATGATAGCACTTGGCTGGTAAACAAATCCCATCAGTGATCGTGCCAGAAATGGTATGAACGGAGCTTGTCAGATAGATAGAAAAGGTTTCTGCAAAATATTTTGCTCTTAAGCTGTTGCAACAAGCTCTCCTCTCCATCTATTGCAGAGCTACTGTACTTAATTCCATTGCTTCACACTTGAGTGTTTCTGGTCTTTGCATATTTTTAAGGCAGACGCTTGATTCTTCCAAGTGTACATGTACTGATTTATGCACCAGAAAAAAAAAATCTAATCTTCAACTATTTAAATGTGTTACAGGGAATAGCAGTAGTAAAAGTTACCATACTAATGCAATGCAACAGTAATGTTTAATGTTCTTTACATGACAACTTCCATTCAAATGAAAAAGTACAAAGCAAAACTTGTGTTTTTAAAAAAAACAAGGCACGAACAGAAATCCATCTAAAGGAATTTTCTTTGCTAATGATATTAACATCGCATGGTTCAGTGCTTACTACCACAAATGAGATTACACAATTCATATTGGTGTACGTATTTTTTTTAAAAAGCGCTAAGCAAATGTACTATTTGACATTTAGTCTCCTTTGGATTTATATGCTTATTATACTTGGCAATACCCGAACTTGTCCAGGGAAAATTATGCACGAGGTATTTTGATCCACTTGTATTTTCAATGGGATTTAATGCATTTTTAAACCTTGAAAGGGTCTGAAGGGGATGTTGCCCTTTTCTTCTTCTACTTCAATAAAATTGTGGTTCGGTCATGTGAACCTGTCAAAGTTGTTTACTTTCTGGCTGTAAGGCTAATTTGCATGTTGGAAGTGGAAGACAATTCTGTAAGTGTCAATAACAAAAAGCTTAAGGCAATGGGATGTTTTCCCCTTCTTTCCTAATGGGTTGTGTGAAGATTGATTATTATTTTTTGCCTATTTAGGTGGCTCATTTGGAACGAACAGGTCACTATCTGACGGTAAAAGACAACCAGGTTGTGCAGCTGCATCCATCCACTGTATTGGACCACAAACCCGAATGGGTACTTTACAATGAGTTTGTACTTACCACCAAGAATTACATTCGCACCTGTACAGACATCAAGCCTGAATGGTAATGTGCTGAAACAGCTTTTGTAGCATTCTCAATAGTTTGCACAGGTTGTGAATTCTATTTTCTCCAGTTGAATCTTAATTTTAAGAGCCAGTCCATTGATGGTCAACTGGGTAAAGACACCACACAGCGCAGCACTGGAGGTCAGCCTAGGCTGTGAGTTTAAGTCCTAACATAGAACCTGAACCCACCGTTTTCTAACCCATAAGTGAGGAGGCATCATTGTCCTCCTTAATGCCACTCGATTTGGGCCCAAGTGGAACTCATTCTACATGTGGCCCTGCTTCATGCCACTGTTGCTCTGTAAACTATACGTTTTATGCATCATTTTTATTAGCCCTTTTTGAAATGTAGTGTGAGAAGACTGACATTGGGTACCCAGTCGGACCTGTTTGAACACAATAACCGATGTCCCAAGGTAATTTCATAATATGGGTAGATAGTGTAAAGTGCTGCAGTTTCATTACTTCAGCAACAGGAACCATGAGCATTGCTTCGTTTCACCAGTCAGGCTTGCCCCAGATGAAGTACAAATTGTGATCCTCACTGCCAACCCGAGATATTCTCATGTGTATCAAATTTGTCAACAGTCTTCATTTCTGCTTTTATTATTTATTGTAGTAAATGGACATTGTGAGAAGCTTAAAACCATAGAATGCTTGCAGCACACAAAGAGGCCATTTGACCCATTGTGTCTGTGTGTGGTAATGCCACGGTGAAATGTGGAGACGTGCCATTGATTTCATCATTAGTATCTTCTGAGTTCTGGATAACGTTTCAATATAATCGAGGACAGTAGATAATTACTTTGATTTGATTATTGGATGGAAACTGAGCTATGTTTCTATGTCACCTACATTGTATGTCAGAACTGATGAGTTAGGTTAGCAAATTGTTTCTCAAGTGGACATTGGAGCCCCTTTCTGATAATGAGCTGATGGAGAATCTCATTTATATATTCAGAAATGTACACCTATCACCACAGCAACGTAAAGGTCAAACGGTGAATTATTTTGTAGATGTATATCCTTAGGAGTCTTGTTAACATAAACACTGACATCCAGGCACATTATTAGATTTTTAATTGGACTTCATAAGCGATTTTCCTTCCCCAATTGCTAGGTTATATTAAAAAGTGGCCATACTGGGAATTGTAGAAGTAACTAATTTTGAAACACTGTGGGAACTTTGGCCAAAATACATTGTGTTCCTCTTCAACTGGCTGATTACATTATTACTTACAAGAAATAATGAAACGTGTAGTGAGTCCTTGTGCAGTAAAAGCTCACAAAATAATAGACAAAGTATTATTCTGCAGTCTTAGTCTGATTGAAAAATGTACAAATGTTTCCGGCAAAATTTTTTTAGCACAATTATTGCCATTTGTTGTAAAAGCGGTGGTGGGGGGGGGGGAATGAAGGAGAAGAAGAGTCAATTAAAAGTTATTGACTAGTGACTTACATGTATTGTTATTGCCTGCAAATTCATTGGCTTATATTTTAGGCTTTTTTCTTTTACTCCCTCCCCCTTCCTGTTTATTTTGGCTAGCTATGGTAAGGCAGTCTCACAACAATTTGTTAGTGCTATTGTGTTAATAGTGAGCGAAGTAGCCAATACCTAATAGCTGTTTATAGGTATTGGCTAGTTCTCCCTTCCCGATTTTCCCAGATGACATGGTAAATGTTGTGATTTGTAATTTGCTTTTCACGTTGTGGCTGTAAATCTCCAAACCACCAATTCATGCAAGTTATATTCTACATTTTGTTTGTGGGACATTGCTATGCACAATTGTCTGCCACATTTCGCCCACAAAAGATACAGTCAATCCACTTTACAATATATTCCGTGAAGCTCTTTGAGACGTCTCGGAGATGTGATAAGACGCTATATCAAATTCAAGGATTTAATAATAATAAAAAAATTTCCAAACTGCGCCAGTTTCTCCCAGGCTATAATAGTCCACCTGTCCACTTTTTTCAAATATTTAGCACCTTTCAATTATTTTCACATGGGAACTTAGGGGCAGATAATAGTTACTCACTCCCCTTTAATGGAATTTGAGCTAATGACTAGATGTGCTTCTTTTATTGTACTGAATTTTACCAGTATGGACATTTGGAGGTTATGTTATAAACTAGTGGTTGCAAAGTCAATACAATATCTGAACCACAAAACATTGTGTATGAAATTGTTACATTTTTTAAATCAAAATGTTATCATCCTACATAGGGAGGATATTAATGTAACTTGAGTATTTTATTCAGGAATAATAAAATGTGTTTTCTCCAAACAAAAATAGGTTAGTGAAGATTGCTCCTCAGTACTACGAAATGAGCAACTTTCCTCAATGCGAAGCCAAAAGACAACTGGAGCGCATTATTGGCAAACTTCACTCGAAGGAATATTCTCAGTACTGAAGTCATTCTTCACAATTATGATGGAGGCCAGAAAATTGCAGATTTCATATTGAAGAAATATGGACTTCAGATTCTGCTCAACGTAACAAATTTAATTACAGTCTACTAAAGAAAACTATGGATGTTTTTTTCAAATGGCTGGACAATTCCTCACTTTATTTTTTAAAAACCTTGTTTATGATGGGTTGTGTAACACTGTGTTGAGCAACATAGCATGTTGCTGGTGTTATGTGGCTTTTTTTATTGTTACGTTGACTTTTGTCACAAACCCTGTTTGGTTTTGAGAGGTTGGGGGGGTGGGGGGGGGGGGGGGGTGGGAGAGAACACATGTTTCAAAATAATGCTGTAACTGTTAATTTTTAAAGAGTTTCATCATTATTAAAATCCTGTCTGCATTTCTCATAGCGATTCGGAGTTGACATTTAAAGTATGTATTTCTCAACCACATACTGCATGATCCTACCCATGTTAACATTCTTACTAGAACGTTGTAGGGAGTTCTAAAGAACTTGGAAAACTTGCATACGTAGGAGCCTCTGAATTTTCCCATCACCAGTTTTTGACTTAAATAAAAGTACAGTGACAAGAACAGTTCTGTATTGTGTGTGCCGTTTCTGTTATTGAAACCTTATTTAAAAAAAAAGTTGCTTTTTCGTCACTAGTTCTCACTATTCTTCAGGTAACTTTTTGGAAGGAATCATACGTGATGCTTGTCCATCTAAATAACTGAGAACCATAGTCATTTAAAACACAAGAAGAAATTTCATTTGTATTAGTGTCAGAAGAATGTCCCAAGGTACTGGAAAGTCAGGAATTTGGACCCAAGATTTGGGTTGGGAGGGAGGATATGGGTAGGAGGGTCACCGAAGGCGCAGTCAAAGAGTAGGGTCTTGAGACAAGCTGTGAAGGGAGGAGCAAGGTGAAGGGACTAAAGGCACAACTCTCGATGGTGGGGCAGGCCTGGCAGGGTATGGGCTTCAGATTTACAGCACAGAAGACCATACAGCAACAAATTACATTTGTACAGTGCCTTTCATGTTGGGAGGAAATCCCAAGGCCCTGGGCAGTCAGGGAATTTTGACCCAAGCAGGGGGTTGGAATCTGGAGGGTTGGGGTAGGAGGGGGTTGAAGGCAAGGTTGAAGAGAAAGGTTTTGGAGGCAAGGGAGGGAGCAAAGTGAAGGAACTGGGATGGAGTTCCAAAGGGTTGGAGCAGAGAGGCTGAAGGCCCGACTACTGATGGTAGGGTGGGGGACATGGAGCAGGCCTAAGCGGAGGGAGCGGAATAACAAGTTAGGTTGCAGAGGTAGGAAACAGCAAGGCGTGGACGGCCTTGATGAGGATTTTGAATTTATCCTCTTGGGGATGGGGAGCCAGTGGAGCTGGGCGATGGTGATGTGGTCATTGATCCTGAGGTGGGAGAGGACACGAGCTGCAGTGTTCTCGATGATCTGCAGCTTGTGGAGGGAAGAGTTGGGAAGACTGACAAGCAGAATTTGGAGTATTCGAGCCTAGATCTAATAAATGCATAGATGAGAGTCGGTGGCCTGAGGGCTGAGGCAGTGGTGGAGCCAGGCAATGTTTCGGAGGTGGGGGAAGGCAGAGTGGGACATGGTGTGGATGTGGGGTATAAATGACAGTTGTGGGTCAAACAAGACGCCATGGTTCTGGACTGGCTTAGTAAGGTGGAGTGTGCATCCATGGATGGTGATCCTGCCAGTGCCTGAGGTGCTGACCAGAGCCAATCAAGCAGGCCTCAGTCTTGTTGACATTCAACTGAAGAAAGTTAGCTCTCATCCAGGACTTTATGTCTGACAGACAGTCTGTCAGCACAGCAGTGGTCCTGGAGTCAATGGTGGAAGCAGAGAGATAGAGTTGGGTGACATCCGCATACATGTGGAAGTACAACCCATTGTGTCAGCTTCTTTGTCTTATGCATATAACTTGTTCCACACCCTTTTTTTTCCCTCTCCTTGTGTTGCTATTTCTGCTGCTCAATTGGGCAATGACAGTAATGCAGTAATGGGGCCTGTGCATTGAATTTTATGTTTTGGTAAATGCATCCCATAGAGGATTCTGCAAACCCTCTTGTCACAGTCCTTTTAGGATAATACATATTCACAGTTAAAGGGAATGTCCACCCATAACAGACTGAACCATCCAGAAAGAATGACTTAAATTAAAGGTATCGTGCCAACTCAGTTGCTCTGTACAGGTCCTTCTATCAAATAGATGTTGAATTGTTGATGAGGAAACTTGAGGATTAGGATGAAAACTGCTGGAATGTGTTTCCTGAAGTCTGATTCAAATCCACCTTGATTCCAATTGATAAAACTCAGTGGGTAAGGGTGTGTGTCCGAGTGTGGATGGGATGTTTGTTGGTAGCAATGCTCTCATACTTTTGATACTGAGTTGTAATTGCTCATGAAGGGGCTCCAAGGAATTCTTGGTATTTCCTATGCGCTGAGCCAGGGCTCAAGCCTATGCTTGTCAGATCTCTAATGACCAACTAGTGATTATCCTCTTTGGGAATGATAGCCAATTCCAAGGTGACATGCGTGACAATGGAATATTGGAATAGAAACATCTGGTGGTTTTGGCAGTCTGGCTTGTGAGCCCAGGCAGGTCTGCACTGCGAAAGCTGATGACAGACCAGCCAGCATGCAGTTTAAATGTTAAACTTCAGAATACCTCAACAACAACAAGATTTCATTTATAGAGCGCCTTTCACCTCGGGAGGACGTCCCAAGGCGCTGGACAGTTGGGTCGGGACCCAAGCAGGGGGAAGATGGTCAGGGTGAGGGGAGGGAGCGAGGAGGGGGTAGAGAGTTGAGAGGGGAGCTGAAGGCATGGTCGAAGAGAAAGGTTTGAGACCGGCCTTGAAGGAGGAAAGGGAGGAAGCGGCGAAGGCACTGGGGGGTGGAGTTCCAGAGCCTAGGGGCTGAAAGGCTGAAGGCCCGGCCACCGATGGTAGGGTGGTTAGGGCGGAGGACGTGGAGCAGACCGGAGCCAGAGGAACGGAGGGTATGGGCAGGTAAGTAGGGGGATAGTAGGTCGGAGAGCCTTTGCTCTTGATAACCTGTGCATAATACTTTCTGGCACCTGCTAAATGGGGTGCGTCCCAATGAGGAGAGTTCATATTCCATTCCAGATAAAGAGAAAGTTCCACGTTAGGTGGAAGTCTAGTTTGGATAGGATGCCATTAAGTTTCTTGTGCCTAGGCACCTGCCAGGTTGAAAAAAGTTTCATAATCTTGAATTACATCCAAGTGACAATTGGCTACTCATGGAAGAGTTTTAGAATTAAGCACATCAAATTGGAAGATGAAATATAATGGAGTACAGCAGTTATGAAGAAGGTTTTGGAAAAATGTCAGCCAATGTCATCAAGTCAGCCAAGAATTGAACAACAAATTTAGAGAAATAATAATCCTTGCATTTGATATAGCACCATATGTTGTCAAGACCTCACAAAGCACTTCATAGGATATCCTATAAAATTTATTGACTGTATTTTGTGCATGAAACATGGCAGTCAGTTTGCACACAACAATGTCCCACAAAAAGCCATGTAGTGAGTGACCAATTTAATTTGGGGGTTTGTGGACCAGGACATTGGGAGAGAGAAACTCCCTTCTCTTTTCAAATAGTGCTATGGGATCTTTTAATGTCCACAGGCAGACGGGACCCCAGTTTAAAGTCTTATCCAAAGGACAGCACCTCTGATGATGCCAAGCTCCACCACTGCAATGGAGTGTCAGCTTAGATACGTGATTCTAAGTCCCAGTGTGGAGTTTGAACCCACTACCTTCTGACTAGGAAGCAAGAGTGCTACCACTGAGCCCGGCTGACAATTGAGAGCAAAAATGTGCTGAAACTGTAACAAAGGAGGCTGAGTAAACAGCAGGACTAATTGCAGTTCAACTTGCAATAACCACAAAGCTTGCCAACTGAGACACAGTACTGGCTCTGACTCCAGAATGCTCCAAGGTATGGCTACAGATCTGCCAAGGGTATGGTTATAACAAAAACTGACCATCAATTACAGACAAATGTGAGCAAGTATGAGATGCCCACCTGAGCCTGCTTCATTCCAAGGACTTGTGTAATTATAATGAACTTACTCATTTAATAATCTAAAGGAGAAAAGCCACAGCAAACAATAAACAACGACAAAATTACATTTGTATAGTGCCTTTCACATAGGGAGGACGTCCCAAGGTGCTGGACAGTCAGTGTTTCGGACCTGAGCTGCGGTTCGGGATCAGGGAGGGTGGAGGGCAAGGGGGGAAGGAGGTTGATTAAAGGTACCGTCGAAGATGTGGGACTTGAGACAGGTCTTGAAGGAGGCAAAGAAGGGGGCGAAGCAGAGCGACTGTGGGATGGAGTTTCAGAGGGTGGGAGCAGAGTGGCAGAAGGTAGGTGGGTAAGGATGGGGGATGTGAAGCAGGACGGAGCCCACTGAGCGTAGGGAGTGGGCGGGTTGATAGAGGGTTAGGAGGTCGCAGTGGTAGAGGGGAGTAAGGCCATGGAGGGCTTTGAAGGTGAGGACCAGGATCTTGAACTGTATCCTCTGTGTGATGGGAAGCCAGTGGAGTTGGGCAAGGATGGAGGTGAAAGGATCACGGAGCCTGGTGCGGGAGAGGACACGGGCTGCAGAGTTCTGAATGATCTGCAACCTATGGAGGGAGGAGTTGAGGAGGCCGACAAGCAGGGAGTTTGCATAGTTCCCTCCCTCCATCGCTGAGGTGATGCAGTGACACGGCAGAATATTGGGAGGGATTCCAAAGATTTGATTGCTCTGCATTGTTTTCAGGTGAGCTTGAAGATAGCATTTGGAATGTGTTTTCTCTTGATGGCTTTAGTATCCCAAAAGTAATTCATCACTCTGTGTGACTGAAAATAATCACTTCCCCTTTTCCTCTCTTCCATTTTGAATTTTTTGTTTAAAAATAAAATAGATCCAATACCTGCAATTTGTTTTAATATATTGTCTGCTTAGATCAATTGCATTCGCAAATAGCCTTTCCACGGTCTTAAGTACCAAGGAAATTGTTTCCCTCTCATGGCATCAAAGGACACTCCACATGAATAATAACTATTACTTAAGATAGTCTCACACATTTCACACACCCAAAACAATTTACAAGTTGGCTTCTTAAGAATAATCTGCACAGCTTCACCAAACAGCTCATTGTGTGAAAGGCTTTGAGATGTTTTGATGTGATGAAGTGCTGTATCAAATGCAAGGATTATTATAAGTACCATCAATTGGGTCCAACTGTTCAGTCAAAACTGCAGCTTTATGCAATTCTTTTGGATCCCACATTGATCGGCTTTGTGTTTGCTATGAGTCATTCACACGGGAGACTTCATCATAGAGAGTAATAATAAGTGGAATCCAATAACATAGTGGTTTGCACGATTGCCTCTCAAGCGAGAGGACCCGGGTTTGATTCCTGAGTGGGACAAAACCTTAGGCAAGTTTCCTTCTCCACAAGCCTGTTTACCTACCTAGCTAATAAGTAGGAACTTGGAGTTCTGTAGCTCAGTGGTTAGAGCACTCGCTTTGCAAGCGAGAGACCTGAGTTCAATTC